ATGAAGGCGGCATTCCTCCTGCCCACCGAGATCTCCCTGCTGCTGCAGAGTGCCTAGAATGGTCAAATTAGAAGTAGGAGATGAGACAGTGTAATCACTAGATTACGTTGCAATACCAGTATCAATTCATTTTGTTTTTGTTCAAATTGTATTTGTGTGTGTGTGTTTATTTTGATTTTTTTCTTTATGAATAAGCCTTGAAGGTCTTTCTGGATTGCTACATATAACTTCACATTGCTCATTCAGTAATGATTTAAGTCCCCCCCTGCTTTATGACGGCAAAGTATGTCAGAGGTAACATGTATGGCTCTAGGAAAGTAGACTGGGTCTCTCATTAGTTTACATCTTAGAGGTGGAAAAAGATAACATGTAAGTGTTTGCAGGACTAGTGTACTAATGGGAAATAATGGGTACTCTATGAGAATAAGACCATGGAGAGAAACAAATAGGAGACCTCTTTTCCAAGATAACCTCATTTCTTGTAGCTCTTCCTAGCATTACATCCCCCTAAAATAAGACCGTGCCGTTCCTGTCCCATCTTTTGCTACAATAAATAGTGCTGTAACATTTGCTGCTTTGTGCACATGAACAGTAGTACTCTGAGTAGATACTGAAAAGCTGAATTTCAGGCACAAGTAGGTCAACTGTTCCTTGAAATGCCTGTGTTAGCTTGAACTTCCATCAAAAATCAGCCCCTATACTACTTAGCAGCTGATGCTATAAAAGTTATCAATTTTACAAACCTGATATAAAAAGTGATATTTTTGGAGAGTTTTAAAATCTGTCTTTCCTAGGAGACATAAAAAATTAATTAGTCATGGTGTTTACCTTTCTGGATCTCACAACTGAGGGGACACATGTATACAAATATCAATAAATCCAAAGGCCTTAATAATCCACAAAATACTATTTTAAAACTGCTATGATGGGACATTGATTCGTCCAGAAAACAGTGGCTTGTAATGTTTAAAAGCTGGCCTGTCCTTTGAAAATCCCCACTGAGCGGGAGTAAAGATCTTCATTTTAGGAAGAGCAGTATAAGAAGAGGGAAAAAAATGCAACAAGAAAGAAATCCTTAGGAAAATTAAGCAGTGGGTTTGTGGATAGGAAAAAGAAAAACAAGAAAAAGAAATTCAACTGAAACATAGGGTGCATTTTGTCTTTTACCCATGAATAAGAAATACGGTAACAGGAAATAGCACTGTGCCTCAGAGGACTAAGGTGCTTGCATCAGCAATCTCTCCTATCAGAGCTCAAGCCCCAGCTGCTCTGTTTTTGACCCAGCTTCTTGTTAATGTGCCTAAGAAAGGCAGCAGAAGATGGCCCAAGTCCTCAGGCCCATTCCGTCCATGTGAGAGACTCAGATGGATTTCCTGGTGGCTGCCTTTGGCCTGACCTGGTCCTGGCTGTTGTGGTCATTTGGGGAATGTACCAGTGGGTGGAAAATTCTCTCTGTTTCTCATCTTTCCTCCCACCATACCCTTTAAGTCTGCCTTTCAAATAAATAGAAAATCCTTATTTATAAATTTATAAATCCTTATTTATAAAAAAGACTAAAAAGTCAACACTTCTTAGTCTCCTTGTAAGAGAAGAGCCCCACTGATTTTGAGAAGTTAAGTAAATATTCCAAGTTAGAGGATAAAACCAGACAGCCTTTCAGAGACCCAGTAACAACTAAAGATGGGTCATTGTGGAGCCATGTCTAGGGTGCACATGGGCATTGCTGGGGAAGCTCCTGTCTCCACCTGGCCTGAGCACATGCCAAGGACAGATGCAATTTGCAAGACTTCAGTCTGTTTTATCATCCCATGGAATAAGACTTGGATGATTTATGCAGTGTGACTTCATAATCCCCTGGGAGGCCACCAAAGAGCACATGTTTGGGATAGCAAACTGGGAAGGGAGAGGGTGGAAGCAAAAATAAAATTTAAAAATTCAAATCCCAACTCCAATTTGGCATAAGGATAAGGTTTCACATCCAGATTCTCCCCAGGCCCTGCCATCTAATTCTCCTCCAGGAAGCAAGGGCTGCATGGGTTCCCCTGGACAGCAAACAGGCTCCTTGGGCTCCATCACCAAACATCCTCATCTGATAGGCAGCTGGAGAGAAGCAGGATTTGGATTTTAGTTGTAAGAGAACAGTGGAACATGTTACAAAGAGCTGACCTCCCTCATTCCCACTCAAACAGTGGCTTTCCTTAGAACATTGATGCTGCTTGGCAGAGGACATCAAAATGCAAATAATTTCTGGAATGTTAGTTGCTTAATAATTCTTTCTAGTCCAATACATTTATTGCAGCTTCTTGGAGCTATCAAAACTATCCTTGGTTTTCAATGTTCTGTAAATGGTATGACAAATATCCATGATGTGGTATTTGACAAAGTCAGCTGGAGAGATTTTTTTTAAGGGTGTTACAGCATTGATAATGTTCTCAAGCCAAAAATCTTAAGATTAGGAATGCAGAAATTGTAAGTAAGTTCTGATAGACAAAATACAAGGCCCAGTAAGGGCCCTACCTTCCATGCGGCCTCAGGCAGGCCTATGCAAGCATTTAAGTCCATTCCAAGTCTCCGCAATACCCTGTCAGATGAGCCTTCCCAATGACATGGCCTATTCATTCAGTCACTACGGTGAAGGAGACCCAGGTCTCCAGATTCTGTGGTCCCTGCATAGAAGCTGTGCACAGAAACAAGGTACGCAAGGGGCATTTGAAAACAGGAATGTAGAAGACAGGGCTTAGTGTTTTTATAGCACCTTTCACAAGGACGTACATAAACATGTAAGAAGTATCCTCCAAACCCTCTCTTCAGCTGCTGAAGAGTGTTTTGATTTGTCTTTGCTTGTTTGTTTTTTACAGAGGATCAGGAGAAGGGTCTTAACTAGCTTCGGCCAGCTCAGAAGCCAATCTTCAGCCTTCTGAGAGCCTCATCAGCAGACCCACTGCCTTCCACAGCCTTTCTTTGGTTCTCAACCACACATAAACCAATGTTCTTGGCTCCTTGTTGGATCTTAAAATCAATTCTGGGTCAATCAGTCTCATGATTTGGACATTCTGTTCAGAGAACGTTATAAATTCAAGATTTGCTGGTGCTGCAAATCTCTCCTGGCATTCTCAGTAGCATAGCTATCTTTCGTCCCCAGATGACTTCCTGACATGTCAGATTTGTGTGCTATGGCCTCGAAAGAGACACACCCTGGCACAGCTCCCTGCATTTGCCCACGCTGTCCTGTCTTCCTGGCCTGCCTTTCTTCCCTGACTCTTTCTCCTTCCCAGCCGCAGGGTTTTCTGCACCTTATAAAACTCAGCTTTAATTTTCTCATCTCCTTCAACAAAGCTTCACATATTTTCTCTGATGCTGTCTTCATAAAAAAGCTTCAGTTTTTTTCAGGTTTCCACTCACCCCTGTCTCACCAAAGCAGGTATCTATTGAAAGGTATCTATGCTTTGTCACATCTGGCCATGGTCCGAGGGTGGCACCTTAATCTCAACAGTGAACTAAGTAGACCAACTGGATTCTTAATAACATTAATCGCCACGCAACTCTGAGGCTCTCCTCTGGTTTCTTCTGATCAAATGAGGAAGCTGATACAACTTCCTTTCAGCTTCAGAATGTTTGGGGAGGAAATAAGAAAGAGGGCTCAGGAAGCAAAGCAGGCCAGATCATCTTAGTTGCTATTCCTAATCATTTGAAACTGCTAATGCTAATAAGCAGCTTTGTACTTTTCAGTGATTGGTGATCTCAGCTCTTTAAGAAACAGTCTTCGTTTAACCACTAAGATATCTTCCCATTCTCCTCTCCCTGAAGTGATACTATTAATGTCTACTGTTACTCCATTTGGTAAATAAATTTAAGTGAAAAGAGGAATATAATTTAAGTTTGGGGACTGAAAACATTTTTTCTCCTTAATTTTAAATCAACTCTTTTCCTTTCCCTTCAGTAGTTGCTCCAAAGCTGTCCAAGAAGACCTGAAGAATTACTAAAGAGAGGGGCAGTTGCATGAAAATATTACAGAACAAGAAGACTAAAACTCAGTTTAAGTGAATTTTAAGTCACTTCAAAATGTTAAAAAACAAAATTAACTTGAGGCACCACCTAGTGGCCCTCAACAGTGTTTTGCTAAGAAAGTTTTTCCCAATTTCTCTCAATTTCAGACCACAATGAATTTCCTATACTTCCAATCATTTATGTTTGTATATCTGTATGTGCAGAAGAGAAAAAACATGAGAACATTCCCATATTTATGTAGAGCTAGGAGAGTGAGGGTTCAGGAGGAGTAGCTATAACTGGTTGATCTTCCAATCTAATACCACTCTGAAAGGCATGTCGGTGGGAATAGGGTGGAGAAGTAGCAGAGTCACAGAAATCTCTCTGTGGAGTGACAGAGTGCATTCAGTGGAGAAAGGACTCACATAAAAAGTTTTATAAATTTCAGTTCCTGGGCCCGGCAAGGTGGCGCAACTGGTTAAAGGTCCTCGCCTTGCACGCCCGGGATCCCATATGGACGCCGGTTCTAATCCCGGCAGCCCAGCTTCCCCTTCCAGCTCCCTGCCTGTGGCCTGGGAAAGCAGTCAAGGACGGCCCAAAGCTTTGGGAACCTGCACCCGCGTGGGAGACCCAGAAGAGGCTCCTGGCTTAGGATTGGCATAGTATCGGCCCGTTGCGCTCACTTGGGGAGTGAATCATCGGACGGAAGATCTTCCTCTCTGTCTCTCCTCTCTGTATATCCGCCTTTCCAATAAAAAAAATAATAATAAAAATAAATCTTCAAAAAAAAAAAATTTCAGTTCCTCAGTTTGTCCTGCTCATATCCTCTGTAGGAGCTCAACATGATGTCTATATTCCCAATCTTAAACTGTAGCCATGTCTGCCCAAGAAAAGGGAGTGACTGACATTGGATGAACTCTGAAGCCCTTACCACTACAAGTCCCCAACATTCCTTGAGTTTTCACAACCAGGAGGTCTATAGGAGCCATCAGAGAGATGGCTGTCAAACCTCTGATTTCCATTTTCTGAAGTTATCTCCGTCCCATTACTTTTAAGGTAGAAACAAGCAAGCCATGAGCATGTACATGAGTAGAGAATAATATATTGTTGCAATACTAACAGGAAATTTTCTGAACAGTTTCTGTTTATAATTTTTATTTTTTTAGTTTTTTTTTTAATTTTCTGCTCCTAAAACTTTTTTACAAACTAGGCATTTGTATTGATTAGGAAAAAGTTCAGCTGTAGGTAGAATAAGCCTCAGAACAACAGGGGTTGAACAAAACAGTGTATTCTCTCACACACAAGAGGTCATTAGGCAGCTAAGCCGGGTTCATCTGAGTTTCTTCCATCTTTGCTTCTTTCCAAGTGAGTGCCTCGTATCCTCAATGTCACCAGTGGCACAGGTTGGTGCTGCTGTGCAAGAGATCAAGAATATCCTTCCTGTATCTTTCAAGCACGTTCCTGAAAAACAACATTATATAAAATTTATACTTCTATAGCAGTTTGTCAGAACTGATGTGGGGGTCATACTCAGCTGCAAGGAAAAACGATAAATACCTTTTAGCTAAGTACAGCCTCACAATCAAGTTGGAGTTCTACATTATTAAAAAATAACAATGGCCCCCAGTGCTGTCTTACAAACAACCACAAAACCTCTGTGGCAACATTTGCTCCTGTGTCTCGGGATCAGCATGAGGTCAGGTCTGCTGATCTTAACTGAGTTTCTGCATGAGTGTAGGGGAGACTGATGCTCCAATCATGTAGGTTGGCCTCGGCGGAGGGGCAGGAAGTGGGTCTGAGGTGACCAAGCTCTGCTCTGTGTGGTTCATCCCCGGCACAACTAGGCCACGCATGTTCTATTAAGGTTTTAAGTGAAAACCCACAGGACCTGACACTTGACCCAGAAAACTACTGTGCTACCACTCCTGCCTTGTTTCATTGACCAAAAACAAAGTTAAATGGAACGGACACTTTTTCTATTTAATGGAGGAACCCTAAATTCATGATTACACACATAGAGATGAGGTGAGAAGGCCATCTCTGTTATAGTGCTTTCCAATCTGTAACAATTGAATTACTAGGCTTCTCTTGCCTTGTCCTGTCTAAACAGTGGGGGATAATTCTGAAAAGAAAGAGATAAAGTAGCTTACATTCCATGAATACATATTTATGGCATTTTGTACTAATAATTATTTCTTAATTCAATTACTAACAAAGAAGATATTAACCTTAACATTTTTTCTATATTCTGTGGTTGTGGATTGAGCAAGTGTGTGTCAAACCTTGCTCCTTTTTCTTCCGAATCAGCTAGTTTATCTATTCCATCTTCTGCAGAACTTAGTACAAGCATGTAACTGAGTACTGGCTAATAAAACGTGAATCTTTAAAGTGGCCCATCAAACCTCCCACATGAAAGCCTCTATGTTTCTTGATCACTCCCCGAATAGAGCCCTCTCAGAGAAGAGCACAACCACAGGATAAGAAGGATAAGGTAAGGGCTTACAGAACACCTCTGCAGCCCCACGCCCACGTCCCAACAAGGTGAGAGCATGGTGGGAGCAAAACGTAAACTTGTGGTGGGAATAAACTGAGATTTGGAGATGTTTATTCTAACAATTAGACTACCATACTTACATAGTATCTTTCAAATTTTTACATTCATTTTCCCTCATAGTTTGCTAAACATAAAGTAGCCCAAATCACCAGCAACTTTTCATTTAAAAAACAATGTTTTCTTTAAATAGCAGGATAGTTTTTAGTTAGAGTTGCCACCTGTATCAAGTGATGATGAGGTATTGGCTTATGGTGGCTATATCACCAAAATATGACTTTTCCTCATTGATCTATTCTAATATCCATAACTTACAGTGTAGAAAAGAAAAAGAGTTGACACACTGAAGATAAAGGATTAGGGGATAGCCAGCATTGTCTCCACTGAAATGTATAGTTCCTTAGTCAAAATCAACTTGTAGTTTCCACTAAAGTGGAAATCGTGGTAAAACTGATTCAGCTAACTGTTCAAGGATCAGTTCAAATATGAAATGCAATGTGTCTGCTAATTGCTAGTAAGCAAGAGGAGGAGGGGAGCTCAGGTAATGACTGACTTGCAGGTGGTGGTTGTAGCAGGAGGCGAAACAGAAGAACCAGCCCAAGAACCCAAGGGGTAGAGCAAAACTAAACCATGTTATCAGCCTCCTGCTGAGCCATCTTTCCTTTAGGCTGAACAACAGGGTGTTTTCACTTTTGTTAGTAAGGACACAGCAAAAGGGCAGGCATTTGGCCAGTCTATAAGATGCCGCAGCTGTATTCCACCCACACTGGCAATCCTGTGAGTTCCTGAGTTTGAATCCTGGTTCAGCTCCTGGTTCTTTAACACATACTGCATCAAGCAGTTGGCTGCCCTACTTGCATACCCACCACCCACACAGGAGAACCACACTCAGTTCCCAGATGCTGGCTTTAGCATGCCCAACCACTGCTGTGCCAGAATTTAGGTAGTGAACCAGAGGATGGAAGATCTCTCTGTGTCTGTACCTGTCGTTTCAAAGGAAAACAGATAGCTTTTTAAACGGACCGAGGTTTCCCCAGCACACTGTGAACTTAAAGTCTTACAATGATGATTTTTTTCTAATGAGTCTTTTCTTTTTAATCTCCATTTCCTACCTGTAATCTCCTGTAGTTTTGAAGAAAATGAATCCCACGAGGAACAGAACAACCAGGAAGAGGGAGAGTTTTACATAGAGAATGATCAGTAAAGATGACACTGAAGAGCCCAACGTTCTGAAACCTTCAAAGATAGGTAGGGGAAACAAATTATTTCAAAGATTCTTCTAATTAACAAATTAAAGTTAATAGTTTAAGGAGCATTTAAGTTCAGACCATCAAATTCAAAAAACATAAACCACAATTCTAATTTTAAATACTATTCTTTCTTGGCAGACTTTAGGAAATGTGTATGTGTTTTATACATTGTGGGTGTTTAACAAATATTTTCTGAATGATTAGATGTGTGCTAACAAACTAGATCATTACACACTGTATGTATCTATCAAAATATCACTCTGTGACCACAAATATATATAATTACAATAATTTCTAAAAGGACAAAAAATTAAATAGAAAAATCAAATGAACTTCTTAATTTCCCATGCAAATATCATTGAGGGGTTTTTGAAGGGTGTTATTATCTTCAAAAGTTCCTAATGGCATTTTCTACACAGGACGAAATTTTGTCACAATCTTTTTAGCAATGTATTTTATGACCCTGTTTTCCATTTAATCACCTATGAAATAATGAAGTATTTTTTAAAGATTTATTTATTTATTTATTTGAAAGGCACATTTTACAGAGAGAGTCTTTTATCCATTGGTTCACACTCCAAATGGCTGCAACAGTCAGAATTGTTGCAAAACCGGGCTTCCATGTGGTGCAGGGGCTTCCATGTGGTGCAAGGGTCCAACAACCCGTAAGCTGAAAGATGAATTGGAAGCAAGGACAGGAACTGGCACTCGTATGGGATGCCAGTGCTACAGGGCAAAGGATTAGCATGCTGTACCACCATGCTGGCCCTTCTAATAATTATGGAAAAGATAAAAAATAAGACTATTGCCATTGTCAGTCTGAGGTCTTTTCTCTTATAAAAGTGGCAGCCTAAGGAGCATATGAAGTCTAAATACAAATCTGACCCTTGACACCAAAAGATCATTTCTTCCTATTAAATAAACTGCTCAAAAAGCAAAACCAGGAAAACGTCCTATGATCTCTGAAGTACTACGAGGATGCAAGAAGATATGTTCACAGTCATTAAAAAACTTCACAGCTTAACTGGAGACAGCAGACTTGTATAAATGAAGAGTTCCAAAAAAGCAAACAATTGCAAGTGAGTATTCCATTATACACCATATAAAGACACTAATTAGCTATACCTGGAAGTTCAGGAAGGGAGATCTGAATTGAGTCTTTGTGTCTGATCAAATAAGTTACTATAATGAGAGACTTTCCCCGAGAAAAAGTTTTAAAATGAACAAAAAGTTGAAGATGAGTTAAATTAGTTCATATCTGAGGCAGAGACTGGGCTATATAAAGGGGAAACCTGTGGTCTGAGCCTATGGTCACAATATTTGTTTGTGTTGTATCCGAGGGATACAGAAATTCAAATAAGACTGTTTAAATAAGACTATTCCTAACTCCAAAGATTTTGACACTGTATTGGGAGTCAGAGACGTGGGTAGTAGTGATGTGATCTTTGTCCTCCAGTTTCTGTGAAAACCCTTGAATGATCCACAATGACAAGGGTATTTACTGATACTCCTGAGTTGACTGTTGTCTAGGAGCCTCTGGAGAGCATGAGAAGAGCAAATTGTCATCAGAAAGATGGAAACATGGTTAGCCTGGAACTTTCAACTCCACATCCTCCTACCACCATCAGCCTCCAGGGATAACAGGAACTATAGATTGAATTCATCAGGAATAGCTAGCAACTTAATCAAACTTGTCTATGTATTATGACTCAAAAAAAGAAAAACTTGGACAACGAGGTGTGGAGCTTCTAAGTTACAGGACCTTCTGATTTGGTGGGTACCTTTAGATCCTGGAGGATGACACTCTGACAGAAAACATGCAAGTTCAGTGCTTCTTCCCCCCAAACCTGGCCTATACAACACTTCCATTTGGCTGTATATGAACTGTATCCTTTCTAAGAAACCATTAAAAGTAAGTGAACTTTCTGTCAGCCACTGCAATGAACTGATTTACTGAATCTGAAAAGAGGATCATGAAACCCCACAAATAATAGTCAGTTGACTTAAAGCACAGCTGGCAACTGGGGGCTAGAGATTGGTGTCTGAAGTGTAAGTAGTTTTATTTAACTGAGCCACTAACCTGTGCTAAGTCTGAGTAGTTAGTATCAGAAGTTACTTGAATTGTAGGATAAAGTAGTCCAAGAGCATGGAAAAGCTCAAGAAGAGATACACTCAAGAAGAATAGTGGAACTGAAAAATGAACTAAAAAATTCTGACCATATTATTAAAGATTTCTCTAGTTTTGTCAATGTTTAGTGATTGTTTATCACTCATAAATACATTATTAAGGAAACCAAATAAAATTAAAGGGCAATTGTGAAGTCCAAAAAAATCGAACAGTTATCCAAAGAGAAAGCATAATGTAAATTTTGGATTTGATGTTTCATAGTCAAATCAATGTAAGTACTGGCCATTGATGCATAATTGCTCTATTGTAACAAATTAAAAAGGAGAGAAAGAAAAAGGTAATAATGTTAGTCATGTAGGATAAGAGGAAATGTGTAATAAAGCCTAAATCTAATAAAGAAATAGCAATGTGAGCAGATTTATTCAGAAAATACAGTTAATTTGAAGAATTGAATAAGAACAGTGTGATAAGGCTAGAAAAACAATGGTGGGGCCAGAGCTTTATAGAATAATTTGACTTTAAACTATGTATCATGTTGATTAAAATGTTATTAAATCTTTTAAAATAGCAACAAACGAGAGTAGAACATAAACAGAGTGTGGAGGAAGCAGAGTGATGAATTGATCATGGATATTATTATTGAGTATTTAAGAAATTCTACAAAGAAGAAGCTAGAGAAGAAAAGTTTATCAGACTAGAACCTCATGGAAGGCAACTTATAATTTCCCTGTTCAAGTAAAAAAGCAAGTATTTGTTTAGAATTATACTCTGTCTTTAAGTAAAACCATAAATATTCTTTTGAAAGTGTAATTCTTTAGGCCAGCATGTGGCTCAGCAGGATTAAGCCATCGGTTTAGAAACTCATGTCTCATATCAGAGTATAAACTCAAGTCCCAGCTACCCCACTTTCAATATAGCCCCCTGCTAGCACACCGCATAAGCCAGTGGATGACATTCCAAGCACTGGAATACCTGCTACCCAAGTAGGATACCGTGATGAGGTTCTAGAGTTCTGGTTTCGGCCTGGCGTTCACTGTTACAGGGTTCTCAGGAGTGAAACAATAAATGGAAATGTATCTCTGTCTCTTTTAAAATAAATAAACTTTTACAAAAAGAAGGTATATTCTCAACACAATTTTTTACTAGTATAAAAGTGAAAAACAAAATGAATTACATTATAAAACAAAGTTTTTAATAAAACATTTCTGTAGTATTCTAGATGCATATCTCAATTGGGAAAAACACAGGTCAGCTAAAGGAAAAAAATCATTGAATGACGTATCTATGCACTTTTCATCCCTTCTTAACAGGGATGCTCTGATGGAATAAAAATATCAAATGGAAAAACTAGAAGCTTTACTAACCAGGAAGCAGTTTTCTGGACAGACTTTTTTCACCAGTAGAATGTGAGACAGAGCACTTCACAATAGTAACATTACTGTCCGGCCAGTTGCATGTGCTCCAGACCGTCACTGTGCCATTGGCCCAGGAGTCTTGCCCAGTGAGACAGTCCCCTGGTGGGAACCAAGACACGTTCGCGGCCGGCTTCCCTGCAACAGCCTTGCACTCGGCGGTTCTGTTCTTGTGGACATACAGGATCACTTTGGGTGGAACTACAGAGATGTAAAGGGGGAAATAATCTCACACTCAAGGACATGGAATTTATTTGTTTGCTCAGAAATCTAGTGATCTGGAAACCACAATGTTCCTTACCTAACACTTGGAGGTGATATGTATGCTCAAGATACCCAACAACAGTAGCCATTTGACAGCTGTAGTTCCCATCATGACTGAGGGCCACTGGGTCAATCTGAAGTGTAGGATCCTGGTCAGGTCTGGAGGCCCAGGTTATTCTCTCATCAGCACAATTGGTTGTTGTGGTCTCATTTGTTTCATTCTTGTAGGACATTGTGCAGGTGGGCCTGTGTCTCAGGGTTATTTTCCATGTGATTACCAACACATTTGTCAATGGGCTAGCAGGGCAGCAGAGCACAGCCTTTGCACCCATCAGCACGGGCCATAAGGTGTTGACTGGACACACATGAAAGGAGAATTGACAAAGACAAGCTAGATGAGGGACTTCACATGTGAATGTCATCCACAACATGGTAAACGAAGTTGTACTTACATAAGAAATTCACATTAGCAAAATATATTTAACATGTTAAAAGTAATCCAAACATTAAGCACTCTTCCCTAGATCATTACAAAAACAATAAATATTATAGCACATATTGAAATCAATTCTGCAGTTATATAGTAATGCACAGAAAGCAGAACTCTACTTTTTGTTTTAGCAAACAAAGGCATTCCATAAATCCAATCTCTAATGACAGACACTATCAGATTTATCTAGTCTATTTCATGTTCTTCAGTGTAAGGTGAAATGAATAGTAATGTAATGATCTCCTTTCTGAATTTTGGTGAGTGCAAAAAATTTCAGCAAAATCATGATTACAAATGCCTGTCCCTAAAGTAGTCTTGAGACAAACATAAGTGTGGAAAGTATATGTACTGTCACTAAAAAATAACTAAATTCAACTTCAGGTTGTAATATATGTAATTTTTCTTATTTTTTTTAATTTACATGTCACAAAATCAGTAAAATCAGCAGTTCTTAAAATAATTTCTAATTTTGCCAGGTTAGCAACTCCATAAAAATTTAAAATAATAATGGTGATAAGAAATGCTTTATAGTATTTTATTTCTATAAAAAGAAATAGTGTATAAACTTAAAGACATAAAAAAAACAGAAGATCTGTCTTCATTTGGAGTTTTTCTATAGAAAGTTTATACTGCGAAATGTGTGACGTCATCCAGTCGGCCTCCTGATGCATCTACCTTCCTGCCTGTGTACATTTCCACAGAGTGAAGTTGTGGATTTTGCTCACAGATTTTGTTTCAACACTTGGAATCTAGTTACCAGGATTAAATAAATAAACATGTGAAATCCACTTTTAATGTAAAAATTAACCTCTGTAATAATAAGCGTCATCTAACGTATGAGGGTACTTCAGAAACGTTATAGAAAAGAATAAAAAATAAATGTATTTGAAGATTAAAATGTTGAAATCCATGCATAGCTTTTTTATAGTAAGCATTTTATTCAAACTTTTTGAAGCCTCCTCACAGAAGCTCATACTTCCCACAAACAGATATAATGTGTCCATGGATTTTTTCTTTTTTTTTTTTTGCATAGATGGCTGGAGCACTTAGCTTTGATACATCTCACTTGTAACAAAGGTGACAGTGATGTCATTAGCGTACTCATGAGGGAACTTTTCATGTGGATGATGCTTGTCTTTGCTAAATTCTGCATTTACTATCTCTCCGTGCCTGTTTAATGTCACCTGTCTCTCCTGCAATATCCAAGCACTTGTATTTCATGGCCAAATTAAGGTATTTTAATTAGATGAAGAGATAGGACTTCAATGCATGTCAGAGATGTAATTATTTTAGGGTTTTGTTGGTGGTGCTTGTGTTTTTTGATTTGTTTTTTGGGGGGTTTTTTTATTTATTTTTATTGGAAAGTCAGATATACAGAGAGGAGGAGAGACATAGAGGAAAATCTTCCATCTGATGATTCAGTCCCCAAGTGAGCGCAACAGCCAGTCCTGCACGGATCCAAACCCAGGATCCAGCAACCCTTTTCAGGTTTCCCACAGGATTTCAGCATCCCAAAGCTTTGGGCTGTCCTTGACTGCTTTCCCAGGCCACAGGCAGGGAGCTGGATAGGAAGCAGCGCCACCAGGATTAGAATCAGCACCCATACGGGATCCCAGTGCATGCTCGGCCAGGACTTTAGATGCTTGGCCACCACGCTGGACCCCTGAGATGTAATTAAATTCATGCTGTTTGCGCCACTGCAATTTGGCAAGACTCAATAGGCCAGGAATGATGTGGCTTCTTTGGGGAACAACCTGAGACTGAATCACTTAGATGCCTCATAGCACCATACTCAGATCACCTAATTTTTCAGCTTGCCTTAACAAAATTCAACACTCCCTCCCCTCAATGAGGGTCACTGCATAAGGAAGTACTTTACCTTCGAAGAAAGGATATGAAGCATCCTGTGTCATCTGCTTTCCGTGCATACATGAATCACTTGAAACTGCAAAGTGTATAGAGAACAAAGGAAATCAACGTTATGAACTCCAGTAGAGTAGAAGCCACTGTTTCTAAGCTGATTTATTCAATGTGACCATCAGTTCATCACAAACAAAAATACAAAAAAATCATAGCAAAAGCATAATTAAAAGTTAATCCACTAGAAAGAAGAAAGACATGTTGCTATCTTAAAGATTATTTTCAAAGTCTATTAATCAATTTCCCCATTTATGAGGTAACTCTCTTTGTTAATTATTTTCAAAAAGAAAAGCCAGGACTGATGTTGTGAAAGAGCAGGTTATGTCACTTCTGCAACACATGTGAGTGCAGGCAGCCCATATGATCGTGAGTTCAAGTCCCAGCTGCTGCTCTTCTGATCCACCAATCTGCTAATGAATCTGGGAAACCAGCAAAAGATGATCCAAGAACATGGGTTCCTACCACCAACGTGGGAGACCCTGATGGAGCTCCAGTCTGCTAGGTTTGGGCTAGCCCATCCTTAGTGATTGTGGCCGTTTGGGGAATAAACAAGTGCATGAAAGACTCCTTTCTCTCTCTTTCTCTTTCATTCTGCCTTTCCAATAAATAAATAAACTTTCATTTAAAGAAAAAAGCCATTTGGGCCTGGCGTGGTGGCATCCTCATTTTGCACTCCTGAAATTCAATATGGCTGTCGGTTCTAATTCCAGCAGCACCACTTCCCATCCAGCTCCCTGCTTGTGGCCTGGAAAAGCAATCAGGGGTGACCCAGGGCCTTGAGTCCCTGTACACACGTGGGAGACCCGGAAGAGGCTCTAGCTCCCGGCTCCTGGCTTTGAATCAGCTCAGCTCCCGCCATTGCAGCCGCTTAAGGGCTCAATCAATGGACAGAGGATATTCCTCTCTGTCCCTCCTCCTCTCTGTATATCTGACTTTACAATGAAAATGAAATACATCTTTAAAAAAACAAAAAGTTATCCCTTCCTCTACCCCACACCCACCTCATCTCTCTGCCCTGAGCAGGAGAATTGAACCAAAGTAGGTATCCCACATGAGAAGTTCTGATTATATACCCCTCTCCAGATGGCACTTCCTAAATATTTAGCCAAATAGCAGTCACCTCATCAAGATGAACAAATAGAACTCCTTGAGAAATTTAGAAACAAGAAGAGACATTTAGCATACCAATAAAGACATTGCTTGGAATGTCTATGTCCCATAATGGGATGTCCAGTTTGAGTTCTGGCTGTGCTGCCAATTCAGCTTCCTGGTAATGAACACCCTGAGAAACAGCAGATGATGGCTGAAGCACTTAGGACTCTGACACCCACATGACTGAAACATTTGCTTGGAGAGACGGCTAGTCAACAGAAATATCTAGTTGAAATCAGACCACAAGGACAGTTATGTCCATAATGTTGTCATTCTAACACGAGCAAAACTAGCTAGGGAAGCTTTTTTAAAAAATGTGTATAAAACTAGTTCTTGTTATACTCTGCAATTCGTATCTCTTCTCTCTTGTTTTGGTGTCACCTATGCTACTCAAAATGTTGCTTGCATTTCAAAGTAAAAAGAAAACCACATAAACTAGATGATAAAAATAAAGAGGTAGAACTTCAAATGTAGACTTGAGATGCCATCAAATCCATTCTCTTTCCAACACTCCAACTTGGCAAAGGCTTATAGGCAAATCAAAATGGGATTTTTTGGGTAACAGGTACAGGCTGTGTCTTACAGGGTCCTTCATATCATCAGATCACTACGTTCTTTAATGACTTAGTGTGGTCTCCAGCACTCACCACTAGCACTTCTGCAAGAGCTGAGCCCTCAGAGCTGGCCCCTAGGTAAGGAAGCAGATTACCTTCAGAGGAAAGTGACGAAATACTGTGTCATCTGCTTCCATGCATACATAAATTATTTGAAATTAGAAACATATTTAAAGAAAATAAAAAGAAATCACTTTTGTATGCTCTGGTAGACTAGAAGTCTATGTTTTTCCAGTTCTTTTCCAGCAAGATAGACTATTGGTTAACCGTAAATAAGACTGTGCAAAAAACAGTGCAAATCATCAATCATTAGAGGAAAAACATGGTAATATCTTAAAATGCATACAGAAGCTATTAATCCGTTTTCAATTTGCCAACTATTTTGAGCAAGACAAACCTGCCACCATCCCTTCTATTTTCCCAGCCAGAGGCCTGGGGCCAGCCTGGGTATCCCATATGGCAATTCTGATTATCCTTGCTTTCCCAGATGCTACACTTTAAATAAAGATTTTTGGTCTAGTGGTGGGACCTCACCAAGATGAGCAAAACATAGCCATTTTGCAAAAATTTAGAACCATAATGCTCTCACTTTTTCTTCATTATTTTTCCTACCTCCTAAAAACAAAGGGACATAAATACACAGAAGCAGAGAGGGAAATAGAGAGCCTTTACCAACCCAGACTCTAATTCCATAGTTCCTGAGTCCCACATGTATTTTTTCCAATGGGCTTATGTTTGCTACAATTGCAATGACACTGATCTACTCCAAAATTGATTTTTGAAAAATTTCCATATTATATCTTTTAAAAGAGAAAGAAAATAGAAATATCTAAAAACCAACAACTAAGATACACTTTCTTCTCAATTTAATGTCAGCCAGAGAATCACAGAACCAGAAGACTCAAACACCAACCAGGACAAACAAAAAATAACCAAAATATACTGACACACTTGGTGTTCAAACTACATAATGTTAAAAGTGAAGAAAAGAAACATGGTAAACAAAGTAACTTTCCACACAGAGTAACAAAGACTTATACTCACTTTCCACTCAGAAATCATGTAAGCAATAAAGAGTAAGTGTAATGTTTAGGATATTTAGAGGAAAACATTGCCAGTCTAAAATTCTATATCCTACAAAATTATCCTTCAATAAATAGGGAGAAATACATATTTTTACAAAATATAATTAAGAGAATTTATTTTCAATTTGGCTGCCTTGTAAGAAATTTAAAATGTTGTGAAAAGTTCCTTA